GTTGGGGCTCGACGCAAGGGGGTCCTGCCAGCGGCGCCGAGGGCCACATGTCTCTGATGATGTCAGCGCACTCCTGGCAGTAGCGCTGGCGCCGCTCCCGCTGCAGCTCCTCCTCCGCCCGGCTGCGCCACGACCCTGCCGGCGGATCCGGCGCGGCGTGGCCCGCCGTGTGAGAATGGGCACCGCCGTTCGCCGCCGCTGCCTGCTGCTGCTGCGTGCCGCCGTCGGGCGCCGCCTGCCGCTGCTGGTGGGTGGCCACCGCCGAAGAGGGCAGCGCGGTCAGCGACGCCCTCGGCGGGGGCGCGGCTGCTGCCGCCGCGGGCGCGTGCGCGTGTGCGTGTGCGGGCGAGGGGGCGCCCCCCCAGCTGCCCCAGCTTGATCTTTCGCCATCATACTCCAACAGGCGCTCCAAGCGCTCTAGGTCCAATATGATGCGCAGGACCTGCAATAACAATGTGATTTTAACTTTAAAAACTTTGGTTGATGCAAGCCTAGGGGCAGGTGCGGTGTCTGCATCAGATGCGGTGAGGGGATGAGGGCGCGACGGGCTGGACTCGCGAGGCCGCGCTGCGCCAGCAAGCGGCTGTTACCAAGGGGCTGAGGCGCTGGACTGTCGTCTGGCAGAGTAGTGAGTGCAACAACCTGCCGACAACCTGCCGACAACCTGCCGCCCGTCAAACATGCCGCAGGGATGCAATGTATGATCGTGATCCTCCGGCCCGCCCATCAGCGGAACGCCCCTCCCCATCTCAGCAGGTCCCACTCGCCCCGACACCCCAACCCCCATCCCCGCCAACGGCGCGGGCGCCGGCGCCTGTGTCCCGCCCCGCCGCCCCGAGCGACGCGCCCGTGCCACCGCCCTACCCGGAAGTGCAGGTCGAAGAACGGGTAGTGCGTCAGCAGGCAGTAGCAGCGGGGCGCAGAGATCATGCAGGAGCGGAAGGGGGCGCGGCACGACTTGTAGCGGGAGCGCGCGAGGGAGGGGGCGCGGTGCAGCATCTCATTGACGACCCAGCAGACGCCGTAGAGCGGGAAGTTGTCCGCAGCCTGGGAGGGGGGGGGGGTGACGCGTTCATGGGTGCGTGTGGGGGCGCGTGTGTGTGTGGGAACGTGGGTGTGCGTGTGCATGTGCGTGAGCGTAAGTGTTGTGGGTTGATGGGAGGTGTTTTTGTGTGTTGGGGGGACGAGGGGCGAAGGGTGTTTGTGCATGCACGCCGTGCATGGAGTGCGCACTGAGAGAACAGCTTGAAACAGCAAGAACAGGTGCTTGCTGCCCCGACGCAGCCTGACTGCGACGCGCCCGCGCCGCCCAGCCTGCAGTTGCAGCCACATGCAGCAGATCCGTCCGCGTCCCCTGGTCCCCTGCCTCCTCAGAGTTGAACACACACACTTACATACACACACACGCACGCACGTGCGCACAGTCACACACACACACACACACACACAAACGCACACACATACACACACACGCATGCACACATTCAACCTCCCCCACGCCCCATACGCACACACCACAAACACATGCACACACATATGCACACTCACGCACACAAACACACACACACCTTGAGCCGGAACACGAAGCACTGCTCAGCGCTGTCCACGTGGCGCCCCAACACCACCTCGTCCAGCGCGCTGCAGCTGGCGGACCGCCGCAGCTTCTCGGGCACGACGCCGTGGGGGAAGCACAGCGCCGCCAGCTCGGCGTCGCTGAGGGGGGCCGGCGCGGCGCCCTCCTCGGGGTAACTGGCGGTTTTGGGCGGTTTGGGGGCGGTTTTAGGGCCGGTTTTGGGCAAGCAGCCGGGGCAGGCTGAAGTTATAGGGCAAGCCGCTGCTGAGGGCGGCCAAGCTGACGCTTGACGCACGGCGCGGCCGGTGACGTTTGTCGACGCTGCGCGCGCCGCACCCGCAGCAGACGGGCCCCCAGGAGGCTGCGGGCGCAGCTGGTCCTCCGCCGTGATTGCACCCACGAAACTTATGCGTGCGCAAGCGCGCGCGGGCGTGTGTGTGCGTGCGTGTGTGTGTGCATGCGCGTGTGTGTGTGCGTGTGCGCGCGCGCGCGCGGCCGCACCTGTACACCACCCGCGGCTCGAACGCGGGCTCTGGCCCCGCGTCGTATTGCTCCTTCTCATCCGCGCCGCCCGCCGCCGACGCCTCCTCCCGGTGGCGCCGCTTGCGCTCCAGCTCTGCGGGGGCGGGCGCGCACATGCGGCGGGCGCGCGCGGCGTGGGCACCCGCACACTGTGTGGTTGGCAAGCACCGGGGCGTCGCAGCGGCCGCGTGCCTTGAGCAGAGCGCCGCCTGGCGCGGCGCAGTGCGGGCGGCCCGCGGTCAGGGCCTCTCACCGCACAGCTGCTCTGCAATCTGAGTGATTTCGATGTCGGGGGGGAGCCCCTGCAGTGGGCGCCGCGGCGGGGCGGGGCCAGGGGGCCGCCGTGTCAGCGCAGGGCTGAGGCTGCCGTGCTGCACGGGAGCGGCCGTGTGGCGCCTGGGTGGGGCGGGACGCGCACGCTGCCGCCTGCGCCGTGCATGGCGCTGCACGACGCTCTACAGGCAGGGAGCACGGCGAGCTCGTGGATGCAATTAACAAATCCCAAATATCTTGTGATTGTCAAACCTCATATCCTGCTGTTTTCCTGCCATGCTGCATAGTTTTGACCCAGGCCGCAACCCACCCACCCACCACTACATAAAAGTTCTCGAAGATCCTCTGCGGCCACTGCGGCCGCGCGCCGCCGCCCTGCTGCTGCGCCTGCTGCTGCGCCTCGAGCCACTCGCGCTGCGGTGCATGCACGCGGGCGTCGACGAGGGCGCGGGCAGCGGCGCGTTTGTTGGGGGACGGGCGGCGGCAGCGAGCGTGCGGCTGGCAGGTCTGGGTGGGTTTTTAGGTCGACCCAGGGGCACCCTTCCGTCTGCAGGCCTGCGAGCTGGCATCCAGCTGGCGGGTGCCTTTGGCTGGGCGACAACAGCGCGCCCAGCGGACGGGCGCCTGGCCACGCGGCCGCTGGCGCACCTTGGCAGCCGTCACGCCCTCGGGGTTGAACCACGGCTCGCTGCCCAGGGGCTTCTCCTTCTGCGAGGAGCGCGGCGGTGCGCGCATGAAGCGCACGCCCGCTTGTGCGCGCGTTTGCGTGAACATGACTGCGTGGACGCGTCGCCCAGAACCTGTCTCGCTTCTACCGGCGCACCTTGAACATGCCATGCGCCCACTTCGACCACTTTTTCAGCGTCGAGCTGCTCCCCCCACCAGGGCTGGTCGTGCTGCCTCCGACTTTCTCCTGGGCCTCCATGGTCTCAAAATGGGAGGAAATTCAAGTCCCAGTTCATTCAATTTGATCCATCCGGCAAAGTCTTTGCTTTGAGCTTCTCTCCTCGCTTCAACGTGATCTACACCACCACGCGGCCCGAACAACCTTGTGAGCAATGCCTCTCAGCAACAACAAAGTCTCAGAATTATCCAACTTTGTTTGTTGGGCGCGCAAGCCACGCGTGTTTACCCGTCCTCGACTACTCGGCAGCTTCACCCCGAAACGACCTTTCGTGGACACCTGATGTAGCATGCTGAGGGCTCCGGACACCCACATTGTGACTGTGAAGTCTGATCTTATCGCCAAGATGTTGAGCACTCACAGGCAGCGCGCGTTCGGCGCTACCCGGGAGCAGAGGGCAGCTCTCCCCACCCTCGGCAGCAGCGTGTGCGGCACGCGCCGGCCCCATGTCGTGAACAAGTCTCAGCGTGCCTCGGGAGCGCAGAGGTCCAGGTGCGCTGCCTGACACAACCGAAGCCAAGAGGCGATCGCAAGAACTGGATCGCGCTGAGCGCGCCCATTCTGGCCCCGCAGGCCCTCAAGGGCGGTGCAGGACCGTCTGACGACGAAGGCAATCCTGGAGAAGAGCACCGTGGACTACATGGACACCTCCAGGGCAGCCACGTCCTCGGTCCTGGGTGCGTTTGACGCGGAGTGCCAATGCCGGGCTCCCCTGGCATCGTGAACGGATCCACGGCGCCTCCGACTGTTGAAAATCTGGCAGCAATTGGATCTGCAGCGCTGCGCCTGGGCGTGGCGCGGCGTTCGCGGCAGGGACCCTGTGTGTGCGCACGCGCGCTCGCTCCTTCTGCTCCGCGGCCTGTGATTCGCCCGGGGCGTCGCCAAGGGCGGCCGCCTCTGGATCACACGGTCCCCTCAGTAAGGGATTCGCATCGCGCCGGACCTCGCGCCCGCACGCCAGCCATCCGAAGGAATCTTGGGCATCCCCTCGCCCCGTGACAGCACCAAACCAAATCAGACGCCCCCGCGCCCGCGCCCACGCCGCCTGCCGCGCCCCCGCAGCCATCATCCTCGGCGGCGGCGCCGGCACGCGCCTCTACCCCCTCACGAAGCAGCGCGCCAAGCCCGCCGTGCCCATCGGCGGCGCGTACCGCCTGATCGACGTGCCCATGAGCAACTGCATCAACAGCGGCATCAGCAAGATCTACATCCTCACCCAGTTCAACTCCACCAGCCTGAACCGACACCTGGCGCGCACCTACAACATGGGCAGCGGCGTCCGGTTCGGCGGGGACGGCTTTGTGGAGGTGCTGGCAGCCACCCAGGTGCGCCTGCCGCCGCGCCGCCGTGCTGCGCCCGCGCGCGCCGCTGTGAGCTGCGGCCTCGGGGCTGCGAGCCGCCGCTGCCAGCCGCTTGTTGGCATGGGCGCAGAGATTCTAGGTTTTCCTGCCGCAAGCGGCGGTTGGGTTGTGTTATGGCAAAATTGCTGTGGCCGGGCCGCGGTTGGAAGCAGCCCGGCAGTTGCTGGCGGCGTCAGGCGATGCGCAGCGCGGGGGCGTGCAGTCCGGTGCCCCTCAGGAGCCGCCGCCAGCGCGGCGCCGCGCCGCGCCACACCCCGCCGCACGCGCCGGGGAGCGCGCGCAAACGTCGCCAGCAGCGGGTGGAGAGGCGGGGCTAGGGCGTCTGCGCTGCCGACGGTTTGGCCCGGCAGTGTGCCCTGATGCTCCTTCTCCTTGACCTGTCCCCTCATTCCCTCACACCGCCGTCCATCTCATCAGACCCCCACCGACAAGGAGTGGTTCCAGGGCACCGCCGACGCCGTGAGGCAGTACGCGTGGCTGCTGGATGACACCAAGAACCGCAGCGTGAAGAACGTAGTCATCCTGTCCGGCGACCACCTGTGAGCCGGCCGGGCGGGGCGGGCAGCAGCCCAAGAGGCGGCGCGGCAGCGTTTGGGGCCGGTGGTTTTGGTTGCGTTGACGCGGCCGTCGGGCTCGCGGACAGGGGGCTCGGGCAACGATGACAACTCCGGGGATTCCGCCGCACCCGCGGCCTGTTGGCAAACAGAAGGCTTCGACTGGCAACGGCTCTGGACTGTGCCTCCTCGAACCAACACAAATCCTGGGCGGCGCCCAAGCCCTTGGACCCCCCAACATGACGTCGATCGCCCCTTCACAACCTCGGATCACTCAACCCCCCCCCCCCTCGGATCACTCAACCCCCTACCTTCCCGGCAGCTACCGCATGGACTACATGCGCTTCGTGCAGTCGCACATGGAGACTGGCGCTGACATCACCATCGGGTGCATCCCGTACGACGAGAGCCGCGCCAGTGACTTTGGCCTCATGAAGATTGATGGCCAGGTGGGGGG